TCGCATGTCAGGCTTTAGGCCTCTCAAGAAGTTCCCCTCCAGACCTGCTGCAGAAAACCTCCTCAACCTCCCTGGCAAGAGCTTAAACTTCTCCATGTATTTCATAATTATCCCCTCCTAAGTCAGAGCATAGAATTGTTTATAGGTCTACTTCCTGAATGGTTCAGAAACGCTCCAACAAGCAATTCTTAAACTCTTCCCACAACTGCATCGGATCCCTTGCCTCCATTAACTGAAACCACGCTAGTCTTTCCCTTCAAACATAAGCCCGCCACCATGAGTTTCTCTTCCTCTATTAACCCATTGACTGCAAAATATCACTTCACCCAATACACCCACCAATGTCCATCTTCCCTTCGTAGATCAGCATCTTCAGCTTTCTGACCCTTACATCTCCACCCCAACTTTCTCCTCCTCCGGTATTTCCCTTGTCTCGGGTGAAACTTCCTCTAGTCATAGTCGTACCCCACTCCTAATTCCATCCTTCCTCCTGCTCTTTCGCGCCCCATGTATCATCCCTCCTTCATTGGAAGTCTCCACTCCTCTTGGAGTCCTAGGGAGATGCTCTTAGTGGTAGATGATGTCCTCTTTGTTGTCCTCTTATTTGATCTCCTTCCCTTTTGATCTGGTCTAGCATTCTCTTACCAATCTTTGGTTAGGTTATGCAACTTGAGCGGTCAACATGACTTTGAATTGAATCTCCATGAGCTTCTTTACCATCTCTCGCATTGCTCCTATGCTCTCGAATCTGTCTTGCATTCAACTTTCTATATAAAAAAAAAACATCTTCAATCGTGTCAAACCTTTCTTCCATTCCCGATCTAATTTGTCCAACTTCTCCTTCCAGCATGTCCACTTTTTTTGTTGTCATCCCTCCAATATGTAGCTCTGATACCAATTTGATACAATCTGGAACCTAAATCAACAAGCAAAAAGAGATGAAATGGAAATGGATAGGAGGAAAAACTCAAACGATGGCTGCTCTTACAAAAATGAAAGAAAAATAAAAAAATATAATAATGATCTATTATTCAGGAGATAGATCGTCTCTCCCACAATCTTAGAAGTTATTAGGAACACCACAAGAAAAGAAGAAAAGTACAGCCACAAAAAACATGCATAAAAAACAAACCCTAGATTAATAGCCTTAATATAATCCTATCACACCAGTTCAAATTTTCTCTCCAAACTTCCCCCCAAACTACTTTAATTTCTCCTCTTTCAATATGTCATTAAAGTCCTCATGTACCCTGCTTGTTTGTTGCGCCCTGCTGCGTTCGTCTCGCTCCTCGTTGAACCAGACCTTGATGACATGTTCGCCCCGTTCTACTGCCCTGAATCGGACCTCCCTCTCACGTTCGCCCCATTCTGCGAGGTCGGCTGGCCTGTAGAAAGCTGGGGTCAGTCGAGCGCATAACTTTGGTATGTAGCAAATCTAACAAAATCTAATCACATTTTCAATGAATAAAATGAAAAAAAAGAGGAAAGAAAAAAAAGAAAGAAAATTAAAAACTCATTAGGTAAGCCTAACAAACTCACACAATAAACTATTCTCTCTTTATAAATCTTCAAGTCCCATATTTGATCATGAGTAAAGTTCCCGAAAAAAAATTGGAATGATTTGCGCATCAAAAAGAAAATTTTATAAAGCCATTAAATTAATTTGAAAGTGCCCTAATTTTGCCTATTCAAAAACACCAAATGAGAAAAAAAGAATAACCTAAATGTAAAATCACCGAATGAGATATAATAAACCCACAACACTCGCCCACCTACAAACTTCTAAAGACCCAAAGGAAGCCTTGCAGCTTGATATAGTCACATAAAATGAAATCACAAGCTCCCCAAAAAACCTAGTTGAAGAACATGGAAAAAAAATCACTATATTAAAAGGGGAAATGGAAAAGGGATAATAAACAACCTGCCACTACTAAGCCAGCTCTCACTTCTTTGTAGTTTAATCTCTCATGATACAAAGAAAACAATAGGAATTAAAAAAAGAAAGGAAAAGTTAAGTTGAGCAGATGGACCATCCGACTGTTGCAAAATAGTGGCACCAATTTCATTAGCAAATCTACCATGAGGGACTCCACAAGTCTCCAATGATTTATGAAAGAAAGTAGCAATGACCAAAACTAAGTCACAGTACACTAATTCTATACAAGCAATTTCACCCCTAAATCAACCGTCTTTTTTTTTTATTTTTAAACCAAGTTATTACACTTCACTTATGATGTTTGATAGCTCCTTGTTGTCTGCATCACTTTAACCTCCCTAAATAGACTCAACCATTGAAGAATCAATACCTAAAATAGTACATCGTTTAAAATTTTGAACAAGTCAAGCAAGAGCAAGTCAAGTTGGGAAAAAATAATTCAAACTAAACCCAATGTGTGTTTGGGGCGGCTTTTTAGCCGATCAACGTTTTGAAAAGCACGATTGGTGAGCTTGGGAGCTCACTTACTTAGTGCATTTCGTAAAAGTACAGTAACAAAACTGAAGTTTTACGAATGGTGAGGCGGGGCTCAGTTCCGCAAAATGAACCGCGGCATGGTTGGGAAAAGAAGTTGTTGTCCTTCATCTTTTCGGCAAATACCTTGTTTTATCTGCAATATTTACCCTAGGTATTTAGCTTCTCCCCTATCTTTGTTGTGTGCTTTCCGGGTTAGGGCATACCAATGAGGGTCTTTAGCTTCTCACCCCTTTACTAAAAATCATATGTATGTATCTCGAATGTTCCTCTTTGGTATAGACTCACACGCAAAAGCTTTTTTTTTATTGTTCTTATTTTTATTCCCTATAATCGGATTTACATATTTTGATGTTCTCTGTATTGACGAGTTTGATTGTTTATTTAGGGTATGCATTGCACATTAATTTGGTTTTGCATTCCATGTGATAATTTCAAATTTGAGGATGGTTACTTTGTTTTCAATTTTTGGGATTGTTTTGTATGTGTGCTCCTCTTTTCAGACTGCTGAAAGCTTGGATGTTAGCTTTGCAAATACATAAGTACTGTGTTCTCTATGGTTTAGGGCGTGCATTCAATGCTATTTTGGTTGAGATTGCTTTGATTGGGTTTGGTTGGCTGTGGTTGGGGTTGATTGGTTGGGATTTTGTTGGAAGTGGTTGGGCTTGCTCTTGTGGGTATCGTTGGTTGTGTTTGGACTTGCCCTGGTTGGGGTTCAATTTGTTATAGTTGGGATTGATTTGGTTTGGATTTGGTTGGTTCTTGTTGAGTTTGTTTTGGTATTGGTTGTGTTATATTTATAATAAAATTTACTATACCTTTGAGATTTTATGGTGTATAATCCATGTTATGCGAGTGGAATACATGATTTGGTAATTTGTTTTGGATTACATTCTTGAGTTTGCACTAGATTTCGGTGGTAATGTTGCATATGAGATTTTGTTGTGTACAACCCTAAGAATTAAAATATGTATTTCAATTTTCAAAGTTGAAATAGTGATCATTTTATGTGATATGAGAAGCCAAAAGTTATATAAATGTAAAAGATAAATTCTTTGATATGTATAAACATAAGAATTAATGGTATGTAAGTAAACACTCCGTCTTCAATGTAAATGTATGAGCATTGCTTAATTTTCAATATATATTTTAATGTTTTGCATAAATACAAGTCAACTCTTATGCATCCATACAACTACTTCTCATCATTGTGGCTATATGGTTTTAGCTTTCTCTGCAATTATAATTATATATTGTTGTATTTTCTAAAATAATGGCATCTAGCAAGTTATATGTAATGTGCGTTTAGAAGGCGTTAATTTTTGTGATGTCATGTAGAGCAATGAGAAAAATTTTATTGTTGTCCGAAAATAGGACATGTGAAGATAGCAAGTTCTTTCAATGTGTTGATGATATAAAAGAGTTCACTCCAGATAGTGACTATGACAGGAGAAATGTTATAGACAGAAAATTATCCCAAAAACTTAATTGCTGGAACATAAAAGTGAACGTCATTATAACATTACTTGTTGTTTTTGTAGTTTTTATTATTGTGATATAATATGTAAAGTGATGACTTACAATTGATGTATTGAAGAAATTTAGACCCCTGACATGTTTTCTATATTGATGAAGTTGTTGCTGACATTCTACTATAATTATTTTGAAAAAAATGATCATTTAGCCAATTTACATCTATAAGAGCATAATCGTCTTCTTCAATAGAAACAACTGCAGCATAACACATTATCCAAACAGAGTAACTGATACTCCAATAACAGTTCTCTGACAACAGTTGAAGCAACAACAACCCCAAACGCACGTCATATATCCATATCTCAAAACTCAAACAGACATACTAAAGTAAAGGGTATGCCGAATATAAATTACACCACGCTTCATTAAGTCAGGACAACACGAATTATTATTATAACTAAAAAAGAAATGGAAGCCACCTGAAATGTCTGGAGGCCACATAGGTTAAATCACAAAAGTATGATTATCAGTACATGTGAAATAGCCATGATTACCAAATCACATCAGCAAAAAGAATTTAATTTACTAATGCCAAAAATATCGTCCGCTTGAGCAATAAGAATGACCTAATGTTAAGTATTATCATTCAATAAGGATGTTAGGATTTTATAAGAATCTTGGTAAAACAATAGAAAGCTCAGGAAATCTATTGGTGATCACATTTTGCAATAACCACAATTGATTCAATTTCAGCTCATACAGCTAACTTGAGTGCCAAAAGCTTCTTTAGGGGTCCATGACACTTCGCCAAAGCAAACATGATTTCTTAGCTAGGTACATGCAAAGTGGCAAAGTGCATCCTTGAATAACAAACTTAGACAAAATAGCCCTCCAAGCACATAAGGTAAATCTGAATGCAAAAAGGATATTTTTAATTAGCAGCATAATGGAATGCGAAGAATAGACATGCTCTTATGATGGAATGGCAAAAATTAGGATAGAAAAGAACCTAGGTAGCACCATAACGTAAGGATTTCAAATGACCAAGGCCGAATTTCTTAATTACACAAATAGTTAATTCAAATTTTAGACTTAAGAAAATTCGGTATTTTGTACAATAAAAAAAAACAAAGCAAAAAATCAAACATGTGTGCATACCAAGAATAAGATCATACCAAAGACCAGCTGAGCACAATAAAAGTACAACCACATCAAATGATCCATGTCAAGAAAGGTTTGCTAGCCACTCCAGGAGCTGTTGATCGAGCATACATTCACAAGGTGCTTGATAAGAATAGTCCTCTTCACAATGATGACAATATTCAAATCCACCCAAATCATACTTTGAGTCCCAACGAAAAACCTTAAGACGTGCAGCCTTCTTAATAACCTCACTAGTGATGCCAGAAATTTCGTAACCAGATACATCAAGGTATTCAAGCTCCTTCAACCCGTCAAGCAGAGTAAGGATGGCACCTCTTGACATTACGCATTCAGTGATCTCAAGTTTTTGAAGTCGTGGAAGGCATTCACAAATGATAGAAGCCATTGTTTCATCCATTGTATCAGAAAAGACCTTCAACTCAATGAAGTTAACACAACATTGACTGACATGTTGAAGGACCTGATGGCAAATCAAGCTCTCATCCACAGCCATTCCCTTAAGAAATTCAATTTTGCCAATGGCCTTGCAAAATTCAGCTTCAGAAACATTAGGATTCTTCATGCTGAAATATTGAAGCATTGGACACCTAAAATCATTCCGATTGCTTTAATTAGCATTGAGCAGCTGCTCAAAAGGAGAAGGGATGACAACAAACCCAACCATGAAAAGGAAAGAAGTATTTTAGGGAGGAGTAAAGGACGAAAGAACATAAAAAATATAATAAAATTATAATTTTTTTAATAATGATGAGTGAAAAAATGCAAAATATGACTCAAATTTGTGGCCGTGAAGAAACAAACCTCATCTCTAATCAACGGGTCATAGATCCATTCACAAATCATAAACATCAATAATCATATGCTAATAATTTAATTCACCAAGAAATTGATTACTAATATGTTATAGAATACATTTCAATTTAAATTTCACAATTATATCCAAAAATCCTAAGATGGGGTAAATAATGTCAGCATCCAACAACTTCACTATCTTTTTCTTAATCACCTCATTCATGACAATGTTAAGTCTCCTCTACGGGTCAACCTTGGGTTTGTGGTTCTGCTCCGTCAGAATCCTATGCATGCACAGGGAAGGGCTAATGCATTTAATGTCCGCTATGATCCACCCAAAAGCTCTCCTAAATGTTCTCATAACTCTAATCAGTTTCTCTTCTCAAAATTCACTCAACTCGACCGCATGATCGCTAACAGTGCAAACGACTCTTCCAAGAAAGTATACTTCAAGTGCTTAGACAAGACTTTCACTTCCAACTCAGAGGCTTCTTCTATAGAGGACAATAACGATTTCGCATGTACAGTGATGTCCAAAGCTAGAATCTATCTCACTACACTCTAGGGTTCGCTTCTAACAGTAGATTTGGACCACTACACTCTAGGGTTCGCTTCTAACAGTAGATTTGATTTTTCCTTAGCGTTTTTTACTATATTCCTCAATCGATACATGCTCTACTAGATCAGCGTCAAATGTAACCTAAAATTGTCTTCTAATCAACCAATCCATCATGTCTAACCAATAGCATGAATCGATTTTATAATATTAAATATTACATCTTATTCATTAATCCTCATTGTCAATTCCCCCTTTTGAACATCAATTACCGCTATTCCTGTGATTAGAAAATGTCTACCTAAGATTATGGGAATATTTGTCTTTCTCCATATCAAGAACTACGAAATCTGTAGGGGATAAATTTATACACCTTAATCATGACATCTTTTATAACCTCTTAGGATAAGTCAAAGATCGGCCAACAAATTGAAAAGATACAATGGTACGTTGGACTTCTCCTAAAAACAGACAAAGGCATGCTGTTTATACTAGCTCCTAAATCACATAAGGTTTTCCCAACAAAATTTTCTTCTATAGCATAGAGCGTGGTAAAACTATCAAGGTACTTCAATTTTTTAGCGAGCTCATTTTAAAGAATAGCACTACACTCCAAACTCAAAGCTACGGTCTCAAAATCGCCAATTTTCTTTTTTTTTTTTGTTGAGAATGTCTTTCATGATTTTGACTTAGCTAGATTTGTTTTAAGGCCTCAGCAAAAAGAATGTTAATTATAAGCTTCTTAAACACTTCCAAAAACCTCAAAAATTATTGATTAAGCTTGTGTTTTTGAAGCCAATGGGAAATGGTGAAAGTGGTCTTTCTAGTTCCTTACTAGAAAGTGAGTGTGATTTTCCTAATTCTAGGATAGTTTGGTCAATAAATCTTTAGGGCTCAGGGTTGACTTCTTCCACACTCGGCTACTTCCTAGTCATTTTTTACAACTTTTTTCCACTTCTTGATTTAATGGCTTTTACATATTCATTTTTTTTTTGTCTTTGGGATTGACTCCAGTATTGCTAGGTAGAGTCCCCTGGGGTCTATAACTCAATGAGTTCGCTATTTGTCCTAACTGATTTTCAATTTTTCTTATTGTTGCAGCTTGACTCTGCAATTAATTCCCCATTTGCATCACAATCTCTTCCAAAGATAATTTCTTTTCCTTAAAACGTGTAGTTAAAGTGAATCCAATTGGATAAGTCGGTCCAGGTTTATCACTACCTTGATTATTCCAATTACCTTCTGGGTTAGATTGATTGTTTCCCCACTATTAAGTATCTATACCTTGATTATTATTATTCCAATTAAAATTTGAGTGATTCGTCTAACTTGGATTGTAGGTGTTGGAATATAGATTATTAAATCAATTAATTATAGCAATCATGGATTCCACATGCATAGCATTAGAATCAACTAGTTGTCCATAAGTATTTTCCTCTATTATTGTTGATTATAGTGCGAAATTAAACCCTAGATTGTCTAACTTCCTAGAGGTAGCAGCTGCTTAGGATATTAAAATTGCTAACACATCTGTATCATGCACGTTGACTATCTCCATAGGGTTGACTCTATCTAATATCCATTAAAAGTTATTTTTTGTCATCTCCTCAATCAGTATATACGCCTACTCAAATAGCTCAGACAAGAGTGATCCCTTAGCTACAACATCAATTATGCACCTCAGCGATCCCACCAATCCATCATAAAATCCTTGAATTATGAGTTTGTTTGATAAGACATGGTGAGGACATTTCCTAAGTAACTTCTTTGTTGAAATTCAAAATAATGGGAAAAATATATTATTGATATGAAAATGAAGTATAAATAACTCTTACATGAATCTTAAAATAGAAAAGACAATAAAAAAAAAAATAGCAGGAAAAGAATGATATATCTCCTAATATCTCAAATTAATCAATTCATATTAATTGTTTGCAGATAAAGGAAACATCATAAAATAAAAAAACCTAAAATACGAAAGGAAATAAATCCAATGCAAATAAATAATTTATTCCTCATAATTTCGTACATGAATAAATTATTTCTAATATAACTTCTAACTCTTTCCCTCAATTTAAAACATAGTGGAAAACCATGTTCAACTTGGATTAGAAAACATCAAACAATGGGCAGGTAAGATCTTGTGAGGTAGAAGTTGAAGTCTTCATCTCGTACTGTGGTTATCTTTGGCTGCAGTTCCTTCAATGTCAGTAAGTAGGCGGAAGGCTCCTACAGATAATGTTGCAAAGGAGTTCGCAGGGAAGTGGACAGCCAATATGAAAAAACTACAAAATATGGTCTGCAGAAAAAGAAAAAGCTTCGGAGGTAAGCCTTCTTGCAGAAAAAGCTTCAGATAGCCTGATACAGAAAAAAAAACTCCAGAGGTAATCGTTGCTACAGGACAAGCTCCGGAGGAGGGCCTGATACAGGAAAAAGTTTCGGATGTGGGTCTAATACAAGAAAAAAATTTTGGAGGGTCTACTGCAGTGAAAAAGCACCGGAGGAAAGCCTGGTGCAAAAAAAATTTAGCTAAGCCCAAAATTTTGTTGTTTGGATTATTTAGTCTCCCAGAAAAAACATCAGCAAATGTTGTCACACCATAGCTGCTGAAATCTCAAGCATGCTTCTATAATCACTCATGTGGGTATGTTTATCATTTAAGTATAAAGTACCATCATTGTAGCTTTTTATGATATAAAAGAATTTGACAATGTTATCCTTGACAACTCCAATCATAGAACAGTCCACCACAGAATCTGCCAAAGAAATAACCCCAGCAAGTGCTTTGAGCGTCATTCCAGCAGCATAGATGTTAGATTGGGCACCTATAGAATCATAGCGCATCATTCATCACTCTGACTTAGTGCCTTTATGGAATGCAATGCACCAACAGCATCTGGTAAAATTACTTCAGAACTTTGCTTCTCAACAAAAAGTAAGCCTCCAATGGAGTAATAAAAATATGGTACCAAATTAGCAGATTTTAACACTGCCACAAGCTTTGATGCAATGCCTAATAGGAGAATCTCAGGCAGCAAGTAACGCCACTCATGGTAGCAGAGATAAGGTGATTCAGATCACCAAGAAGGAGTTGCCAGCTTTAGAGTGAGGAATCAGATATCATAAAGGGACTCATTATCCAACACCATGCATTCATCGGCATTCTTGACAAGCTGATGAATGGAAAGGGTAGCATTGTAAAGTTCCACTAAGGTGTCTGAAACTTTAGGAGATGGGAAGACTAAAAAGGTCAACATCAAGCGATCAAGGTATTCCTCTCTCATCTTAGAGATGAGAAGGGTCCCCATGCCAGATCCAATTCCGCCACCCAAAGAATGGCACACTCGCAATCCATGCAAGCAATCTTAATTCTCAGCCTCCTTCCTCACCACGTCCAGAACAACATCAATGAGCTCAACGCCCTCCATGTAGTGTCCCTTGACCCAGTTGTTACCTGCTCTAGATTGTCCAAACACAAAGTTGTCCGGCCGAAATATTTGCCCAAATGGCCCTAATCTTAAGGCATCCATGGTGCCCGGCTCAAGATCCATAAGCACCGCCCTAGGAACATACCTCCCGCCGTTGGCCTCGTTGTAGTATACATTGACCCGCTCAAGCTGGGTATCCAAATCTCCGTTATACTTTTTGGTGTGGTCGATCTTGTGCTTGTTGCAGATCACCTCCCAAAACTTGGCCCCGATCTGATTGTCGCACTGTCCACCCTGAATGTGCAGAATCTCTCTCATCTTCACTTCTTCGTGAGATATCCGGTAGCAGGGTAAGGTTGTTTGGCATATGACTAGAGCAGAGAAAAAAGCTTGAGGAAGGGCCTACAACCGACAGCCGACAAAGATTGTCGATTGCAGGGAATAGAAAGTTTTTCAACAGTAGGTAACTCTAGGGTTTCTTTAAGGTTCTGATACCAATTGAAGTTCAGAATAATGCAGAAAATATTTTTTAGATATGGAAAGGGGGTACAAATAACCCTTACATAAATCCTAGAATATGAGAGATAATAAATAAAGAAATGACAGGAAATGAAATATATATCTCTAATTAATCATTTCATATTAATTGTTTGAAGATAAAGGAAACAACATAATATAAGAAAACCTAAAATAGGAAATGAAATAAATTCAATCTAAGGAAATAATTTATTGCTCATAATTTCTCACAAGAATAAATTAATTCCTAATATAACTTCTAACGTTGTTAAATCTTCAAAGCTTATAAATTGATTCTCCATCTAATTGAGTAATAAAGTGATATTATTCCTAAATTTTGTCAATTTTGATGAAGGAATATTTTGCTAAGAATTTCTAGACTAATTTGTTCCATTTGGTAATTGATCCTGATGATAAGAAATTGAATAACATCTTAGTTATATCTCTCAGTGAGAAAAAGAAAAGTCTAAGTCAAACAGCGTCGTTAGAGACACCGTTACAACAAATGATAGCACATAAAACTAGCCAAGTGGAAGTTAGGGTTTTCCATGGGTGATGACCGAAACCGGTAATTTTGTACAATCTGAATAATAGCGGGTGTTAAAAAAAATCGGCTTCTATGGTAAGGTTGTTGATGCTTAAGTAAAATTCTTCTACCGATGGGTTGGCCAATTCCCTAAGAGGTCTAGTCATGACATGGGGTCTTGGTGTATTATGTTCTTTTTTATGTATGTTTGACATCTCTCCTAACTTCGTTTTGAGTCTTTTTGATTTTCTAATTTTTTTAATTGTTTTTTCTAGTTCAAGGTCGTAATGTACTAGTTTCAAACTTCCAATCCGACAGATACACAACAAAAAAAAATAAGAGAAATTGCCCTAAACTACCAAATAAAATAAGTGAAAACAAATAACTAAGCAAATAACATGTTGAAGTTAAAAGGCAAACAATTCACATAATTTTCACAACAATGAAAAAGCAATAAAAAAGCGCACTAAATTAGCAATAAAATGGGAAGCACGCACGAAATATTTTTTTGATTTTTTTAATCATATTGCAATAATCGTACAAGGCTATATTTTTTAAATCTAAACTGTAACGGTTCGACTAAAATTCTCCTAAAATTAGAAATTCAACATCAAACCCCGTTTCCGGCGCCAAAAATTTGAAATGAACCAAGTATTGCAAAGCACGGGTGAATCACGCAAGTATAAGTGTCGTCCAAGTGGTATACAGAAGAAACTCTATGTATCTATCCCACAAAAAACAAGAAAATTCCCAAAATGTGAAAACTTCCAACATATTGATTTCGAGTTTAGCCTGAAAGTTCAATTGTTGGCACTTTGTAAAAGTTGCTAAATTAATTTTTACAAAAACAAAAATCCTAATTTAACTGTGAGAAGTAAATATAGTAAGTAAAATATCTCTCCTGAATCAAATCTTAAAAACCTAGGGTTGACAATGACATAATTAAGATTGTGACAATCAAAAAACATTTTTTTTACTTAGCCCCTGTCAGTGGCAATAAAGAAGCTCGGACAATCAATCAGTTTGATTTCATAAATCCAATGAAATCTCCAAGATTAAATATTTTCTTAAACTATAGCAATACTTCATGAACAAAATTCCTATTCTCCTACTTAATAAAATTTATCCTAGTTTCCAATATGAATTCTCCCAATAATCATAGTTCACAATAGTTTTTAACTATTCAATTCGACAGATCAAAAGTAAATTAAGATTCAAAGGATAAAATACCACCACAACATTGATCGTGTAAATCACAAAAAAAATATCAAAAACCCTAGGATTTCCATTCACCAAATCAGAGAGAAAAGGGAATTAGTGACGACTCATGTTTTAAAATAATAAAATAAGCATTTTATTCATTAAAACGAATAAGTACAAAGTGAGTTTAGAAAAATTAACCAGGATTACATCCTTAAGATGTGATATGGGATCATGTTCTACACTCCTGCTGACAATCACTAATTTTCTGGGGCAATCTTCTCTCCTTCACAACATTTTTGAATTTTGTCACCTTTCTTATAAAATCACTTAGTCACAGAGAGAAAACGGAAATCCAGAGAAATTAATTTTTCAAATGTTTTCGAGATGATTTTCAAATGCTTGAGAGATCCCCTCCTTCAGTCGAATTCGTCTTTTTGTAGCCATAAGAGACTCCGCGCGGCCAGAAAACACTAACTCCCTATGTCAGTGTTGCTCGCTCTGCGTAGCAGCTAGTGGGTGGCACCCCGGAACAACAAGAAGCGGTGCCATGGTTTTGCAGGCCAGGCTCTCAGTGGCTTTGGCATGCCTGGGCTCATGGGTAGCGCACACATAAGGCGGCGTCTAGGCGTCACTCAAGGCATTTTAAGCTCTAGTGCTTGGTGGCTCCATTAGAAACATGTTTGAACCAGCTTCTTTATATTTTGCTCCAATATTTGCTAAAGCCACTTTAAAGCTTCCATAAGTATTTATATCATGTAATAACACAAAATATTTGGAAAAACATAAATATGAACAAATAATATAAGCAATTACAATAAAATTTAAACAAATTTTATCACATAATTCACACATATCAAAAGCCAACTTGGGACCGCGGCATACAGGTGCCCGAAACTCCTAATTCCTTTGCTTAGCATACAAGTTGTTCCTTTTGCGACGCCAACGATGAGATTGACATGATATGGGATCACTGATTTGCAATACATTCAAGATAAGAGCTAGTTGGAAAGTGACGATAGATTTTCAAGGTATAAGGTTCCGCTTTCGTGATCATAAATAAAACTGGGAAAAATGGCAACGAGAAAAGTAGATGCTTTGGAAAAGAGATTGGAATGAGAAATAGAGTAACTTACATCTGGGATGGAAGAAAGCTTCTCAACCATAGAAGGAAGGCTATCATCAATAGAAAATCGATTTGAGAGTCGATTCGAGAGCTTGGAGGAGATGATTAGAAAACTTATTGAGATGAAATCCAAGACATTGTAGATTGTTCAATTCGCAAACCCTAACCAAAGGGTAATCGGAGAATCCTTGGATAAAACAAAAAGGGAAGAGAACGGACAAGAACATGAGAAAAGTATCAAACATCAAGAACCCCTCCAACGGCTCCGAAGGGGGTGGGGGATTAGAGATCACCGACAAAGGGTGTTAGATCGAAATATGGAGATGAGATTATGCAAGGGGTATGGAGAAGCACGAAGAAGGAAAAAAAGAAGCTAAGATAGGGTATGATTATAATCGAATGAGAGAATTTTACCTTATACACATGGGGGGAAAACAGTGGAGGAAGAGAAAATTGGGGTGGAGATGTTGGGATTAGGAAATTAAGGATATCGATCATCGAGAGAGAAGACACACATGGGTGGGGGTATAGGGTGGAGCGATATTTCAAAGTAAACTGACTAAATGAGAAGAAAAAGCTCATGATAGCAGGGTTATGTATGGAGGGGAAGCCCTAGCAAGGTTTTTGTGGAGGGAGAAGACTAAATGCTCGATCTTTTCATTCGAGGAAATTAAGGATTTCTTGTTAGAATGTTTTCGAGTTAATCAGAAAGGAGCAATTATTTGCTTTGACTTAAGTGGAGATTGTCATGGAATATAGGGTGTTGGGAAGCGGAGGGGATTTCTGAAGTAGTATTGGAAAAAATTTTCATGCAGGGTCTAAAGCTCGACATGCATGCAACACTCTGTCCACTAAGATAGTGAGACTTAGAAAAAATTATGGAACTAACGCAGCTAGTTGAAGATAAAAATACAAGAAAATTGGCTAATAGGAGTAGCATAGGTGGAGCGTCATACCAAATTGCTACAGCCACGACGATACAAAAAATTCAAATAGTAGATGCCTAGAGAGAGGTTCCCATGGACGTGAATCATAAGACAGGACCGAGAGTGACATTCAAACATCTTATAGAGATAATGATTTAAGAAAAACAAGCAAAAGGGTTATATTTTCTATGGGATAAAAAATCTGCTCCATAACACATTGTAAGGACCGGACATTATAGGTTCTCACAGTGTGTGACAAGGACACTAGAGGAGCTTGATTTAGCAGCAGTTTTCTTTTATCCACTTTGACGGCAGTCTTTAGGAAGGGGAGAATTGTTGTGTCAATCCTTAAGGGCAATTTAGTCTTTTGTGCTCGGTTATGCATCAGATTGTTGTGAGTCTTAGGTCGAGGGTTTTGGAGAGATTACCTACTTCTCGAATTAAAGGTTCTTATCTTTATGTTTGTGTTGTTTTAAATTATTAAAGAAAAAATTTTGCTTTACCTTAACTTTTGTGTGGAAATCCGTGACAGTTCCTATCCGACATGTCTTCATCGCAATCTATTTCAACAATATAATATCTTCAAGAGAATTTGTGCCAAAAATATTGTAATTGGCATGAAAACCCATAATGCGAAGAAGATAAATTCAAAAGATCATATGGCAAGAAAAATTTGTGTCACCTACTGATCACTTCATGGACAAAATCATGGGAGCGAGATAAGTGCACATAATGAAAATACAGATATAGAATTGAATAAGAAAATGGAATTAGATCATATTTAAGTTCTAAGTACGACAATAAACTATCTAGTAAGAAATCAGACACATTTGACGATTGAATTAAAAATATTTAGATAAGCAAATTATGATCAATTTGTTAGGCAAGTAACAAAAAAAGAACATATTACAGAATCCCTAAAATAAAATACGTCATATATAATGGCTCGATATTTAGAAAAACTTAACAGCAAAAATAATATATCAACATAATTTATCATTATCATGGAGGAAGCTTTAAAACATAATAATGATAACATTGGAATTGTCATTGTTAAATGACTAAATCGAGTATATACTTAATTATCACCATCGTTTTTATATATGCCCAACTTAAATACAATCATTATTTTAATATTTATCATTTGACTTGAGCAGTCCAATATTTACTTTGTATTTGTTAATAGTTCATATATTTTATCAATAAAATCTTTATAACTTATTAATGTAGCAA